AGAGAAGCATAGAGAGACAAAGAAAAAGAAAACAGGATTGTTTCAGGAACGTTTATTGTTCCAGACAGTTAAAAAGTTAATTTAAAAAAAAATCGATTATTTTATTAGTAACTCATAAATCCATGTTCAAAGGTCTCTTTTGTTTGCTGCAAAATGAATTTCAAGAAAAGTGATTTTTTAAAACATTGATTACTTTCTAATGCTTGGTTGTATCATGAAAAAATGTATTAGAAATCATTTTTTGGTGTTTGGTCGTCTAATGAAAAATGGGTTAGGAAGAAGCATTTTTGAGTTATTAACTTTTCTTAAACAATAGAATGTTTAATTTGTTAACTTTTTTTAGGCCTCTTATATTCATTGGAAAATAAATTTTGAGAAAATGAATTATTTTATAATATTTAGTTGTGCAATGAAAAATGAGTTAAAACATTAATGTTTTGATGTGAACTAAAAAATCAATTATAAAAATTGACATCTAACATGCAAAATAAAAAATGTTTTCCATATCTCGTATAAATATTTCATTAACTCAAACAAAATGTAACTTAATTATTATTTGTTAATTAATTAATACTGAAAGTTAAGCATTTAAAACAATAATAAAGAAAATGAAGATGAGGATGTGGGTGTGGGTGTGAAGTAGTTTAAAATGAAAGAATAACAAACAAATTGCAATATGTAAACATAAATAATAATGCTAACTTGTAACATGCAAAATAAAAGGTATGTTCCAAGTATAAAAAGGAAAAAAAAACTTCCTTTTAAAGCCTTATGTTTTCCTTTGATTGAAAAACACTTATATATGTATATATAGAAAGCTGATTAAAATTTATAAATATTAGTGAAAAGAAGAGAGTTACTTTGAATTTGATTCATAACATGTTTTCGTATATCTTATGTTATTCAAACTTAGTGTTTGTGGAATGTCCTTTTGAAATACAAGATGATAAACAAAAAGCATATAAGAGAGTCCTTATCAATCTCGTGTACTTAATTTAAAATAACTTATAATTTATTAAATATCGTTAGTTGAAATATAATTGTTGGAAAGGAATTAGCTCAGTGCTTGCGACGTAACTTAGCACGTGAAGCGCACATGCGTCCATGGAGGCATGGACATATGTGTGTATTGTTTATTAATAGATTAAATCATTGGTTATTAAATTTCATAGTTGTAGATTTTTGTTTTGTTGAAAAAAAAACACAAAAGAAAGCTGAAACGTAAATTCAGCAGGGTAGTAAGCGACAAATGACTGGTAGTTGTCTTAGGCTTTGGATTTCCATGCCAATAATTAAAATCATCATTTCCCCTGTATCTAACGACACTAGATAAATAGACTCATCACCCCTTCCAATTTGATCACAAATCGTAGCAAGATCATCGACACACTCATTACCTTTACCACCATCAAAATGGTCATTTCCGCTTTTGCTGCCCTTTTTCTTGCTACCGTAGCCATAGTCACCCTCTTCCGCCACCTTACCCGTCCCAAACTCAACCTGCCACCAGGCCCAAAACCATGGCCTATAATTGGAAACCTAAACCTCCTTTCAGGGCCACTCCCACACGGCCACACAGAGACATACACGCCCTTGCCCAAAAACACGGGCCAATTATGCAGCTCAAGTTTGGTTCAAATCCAGTTGTTGTAGGCTCTTCTAAAGAAATGGTCGAAGCCATTCTCAAAACCAATGATGTGAAACTAGCTGATCGTCCCAGAATAGCTGCAGGCAAATACACTACCTATAACTGATAGAATTTAGATAACAGCCATTCTTTCTTGATTTTATTGAATGAAAGAGGAGAGCATATATAGGCGACACCGTACAAGGCTGGTAGAGTTTGTTACAACCATATTCTAAGAATCTTAGAATGGTGACAGAGGCCAGCAATATACTTCTACAAAGTTTTAAAAGATTGTTTTGTAACTGACTCAACAATAAAGAAAAGAAAGGGAAAAGTAAATAAAAAACGATGAAGCAGAGACTGAGGAACAAAGAAGGAAAAATAAAAAGTGGGCTTCTGCTCTGTTTAATTAGGGAGCCCAAAGTACTCTTCTTGGGTCTTATCGTTTAAAGCATAAGTGAGGCCATTTGTTGGGTGGCCCTTCAATTAGCTTTCTTCCCTTTCTTTGATCCCAGCCGCGACTGTCTTCATCACTACTACAACATTACGTGGTCGCAAATTCGCAATACGGACCCTATTGGCGACAAGCACGTAAAATTTGCCAGACGAAAATATTTAGTCCTAAACGCCTAGACCAACTTGAGTCTGTCCGCGTACATGAGTTACATGCAGTCCTTAGAAAGCTATACATGTCAGCTAGCAAGCCCATCAATGCAAGAGATTGTTTTTCAGATTTGGGTCTTAGTGTCATTAGTCGCTTAGTGTTGGGAAAAAACTAAACAGTTAAAACTGGGAACGAAAAGGACTTTATGCCACCCAAGGAATTTAAGGAAATGGTTGAGGAGCTTTTCTTGCTTAATGGGGTGATAGATATAGGGGATTCAATACCATGTTTCGCTTTCTTGGATTTGCAAGGCTATATTAAGAGAATGAAGGCCTTGTGCAAATTGATTGATGGGTTTCTTGAGAATGCATTGAATGAGCACAATCAAACGAGGAAAGCAGTCAAGAACTATGTGCCTCAGGATATGATGGATATGCTGTTGCATCATTCTGATGATCCTGATCTTGAAGTCCAGCTCGACAGAACTGCAGTCAAGGCATTTACAATGGTATTTTTTATTGTTTCAATCCATATGTAAACTGTTCCGAATTAATTTATTTTTTATTATTTCTACTCAAATTTAACTGCCTTGTGCTTTTATTAATTGTTTTTCGCTTCGTTCTCGGAGGATTTGCTCGCAGGGGGGACTGAGAGTTCTGCTGTGACAATAGAATGGATCATGGCCTAGCTTTTGAAAAAGCCAGAGTATTTTAAGAGGGCAATCGCAGAGCTCGATCGAGCATATGGAAGAGACAGGTGGGCCGAAGAGAAAGACATTGTTAATTTACCATTTATTGAGGCAATTTGCAAGGAGGCTATGCGTTTGCATCCTGTGTTACCCTTACTAGCGCCAAGACTTGCTCGGGAAGACGTACAACTTGGTGGGTATGACATTCCCAAAGGAACCCAAGTCATGGTAAATGTATGGGGTATTGGAAGGGATGCAAGCATATGGGAGAAGCCCCACGAATTTTGCCCCGAGAGGTTCCTTGGTAAGTCAATTGATGTTAAAGGTCACAACTTTGAGTTGCTGCCATTTGGAGCTGGGAGGAGGATGTGTGCGGGGTATAGTCTAGGACTAAAGGTGATTCATGCTAGCGTAGCACACTTTTTGCACGGGTTTAAATGGAAATTGCCTGGTGATATGACAACGGGAGACTTGGACATGACGGAAACTTTTGGTCTTTCTATTCCTAAAATAATCCCTCTCGTTGCAGTTGTTGAACCCCGACTTTCAGCTCATATGTACTCTCTGTGATGATATCCTATCCAGGCCTTTCAAAATAAGTGCATGTATTTGGTAATACATTTGTTGGGCTTTTACGTCAGTGCATTTCAGCTAAGAGATTAATGTTTTTTTCATTTTTGTTTTTTTTTTATATAAAATAATAAAAAATAAAACATAGGATCTTATTTTATTCAAAGAACACTTTGAAAAAACACCTTTAAACAATATTACTAAATTCACACTAAAATAATAAATTGGGATCCTTTTGATGCCTGTACTGCAATGAACTGATGTGTCCACAGTTTTGTTGGAAGTTTAATTCAACCTCACAAGATATTCGAGCAAGCATAATCTATAATGACAATGGTCATAAAATTTGGTTTGACTTAAATGAGAGGTTTTCTAGCACTAACGGTGTCCATCTTTTCCATATTGAAGAAGCCATCCACAATTGTAAACACGACGACATGACCATTAAGGCTTATTACACCAAACCTAAATGCCTATGGGATGAACGGGATGCATTGGATTGCATACCAACATGCACATGCTGTACTGTAAAAGAAGTTTTGCAGTTTCAGCCAAGTCAAACAACCATGAGATTCCTCATGGGACTTAATGAAGTTTATGCTGGTGCTCGAGGAAAGATTCTTCTTATGGAACCACTTCCCAGCCTCAATAAGGGTCATTCACTTATCATTCAAGATGAAAAGTAGAGAGGTATGTGAAAAGAAAGTGGACGTTTGACTGAGAATTCAGCCTTTGCTATTAAGAACAATTCAAGGAACTATGAGAAGAATTTCACACCTAAAAATCCTCATATGAAATGTGCAATCTGTGATAAAACTAGGCACACCTCGTAGACATGTCGGGCACATCTCAAGTGTGACTATTGCAGATGGGAAGGTCACACCATTGATATCTCGTCATAAATAAAAAAAGGTAAGTATCACAAGGACACAAGTCTTATCAAAAGGAGAGCAAGAATCCTTCATTGTTAGCCAATCATGCATTTGTTACTCCTACACCATATGCCCTTACAACAGAGTAATATGAAGGACTTATGACACTCCTTAATGAAAGTAAGTACAATTCCATGGCCAATCATGTTAGAGGTACATCTACCATAAACAACATCTCGTGTACTATTCTATGTGCTTCTTTTATTGACAAAAAAGTTTTTTGGATACTTGACATGGAAGCCACTAACCATATGGTTTGTTCTCTTGCCTTACCGACCATAAACTCTCGTGTCATAAAACAAACTATACATCTACCTAATGGAACCATCATTGTTATCACACACATAGACGACATCCGTCTTGCGGACTTTATTTTACATGATATGTTATGTGTCCCTTCTTTTAAACTAAACCCGATTTCTATTAGCAAACTCCTTCGTAACTTTAACTACATTGCCATTTTCACTAATATTGCTTGTATGATGCGAGACCAATGATTAGCAAAGATGATTAGGATAAGAACCGAACGAGAAGGACTTTACTACCTTGATGCTTCACAAAGAACTAGGTGTAATGCATTCACCACACCATTCTCTTCAACCTCGAGGCTTTGGCATCAACGTCTTGGTCGTCTATCAAATAAGCCTTTCCATTTACTTTCTCAATTTAATTTAAGCATTAATTACTCGTGACATTTATGATTTTTTAATTTGTCTATTAGCTAACCAAACTCGTTCTTCTTTTACTTTAAGTTCTATTCATACCAAAACACCCTTTGAATTGATTCATGTTGATATTTGGATAGTTATCATGTTCCTTCCATTACAAGAACAAGATATTTTCTTACCATTGTTGATAATTATACCCGTTATACTTGGATTTATTTGATACATCATAAATCGGATACCTCGAGATACATTACTATGTTCCTAAATTATGTTGAAACACAATTTTTATTGAAATTCAAAATTCTTCGTAGTGATATACCTACATTTACAATGAAAAATTTTTATTTAGAAAGAGGCATCATTCACCAATCTAGTTGTGTCTTTACCCCACAACTAAATGAAGTAGTTGAGAGGAAACATCATCACCTCCTTAATGTAGCCCGAGTCCTATTATTTCAAGCCAATCTATCCAAGCAATTTTAGGGCGAAGCCATTTTGACCGCTACCTACCTCATTAATCGAATTCCCACACCTCTTTTTCAAGGAAAAACACATTTTGAAAAGTTATTCCATAAACAATCTGCATATGATCACTTGCGAATATTTGACGAGCTTGTGTTTTGCTTTCACACATCACCATCATCCCATAAAATTTGATGCTGAGAGCAACACAATGCATTTTCTTAGGATACCCTTATGCTAAAAAAGGATGCAAAGTTTATGATATCTCAAACAAGTAATATTTTTATTTCCTATGATGTCATTTTTCATAAAAATATATTTCCTTCCTCATCCTCTCGCTGCCATTTCCTCTAATATCTCCACATTCATCACAATATAATGATGACAGACTTGCTCCATAAAATCTTACCAATATTGATGCATCTCTATCCGAACAAAAAAAATACCTTCCCTTTCTACTACCGACATATCTCACTTGGAACATCCTTCCCCTCCAACTAATGAACTTGCTTAAGACACCTTCCTAAGCACCATATCATTCCCTACGACCGACTTGTTCCATAAGAATTCCTAGTCACCTTCGTGAGTATTAAGTTGGTGTTTCTCTTCCTTCGAGAAAGTCCCATCATCTCACTCGACCTTGGTTCAAGTTGCAAGTATTTTCCATCCCTTATCTAATGTACTTTCATATGATTGATTATCTCCCAAACACGATGCTTTTAGTATTTCTTTGTCGGTAAAAAGAACCATCCTCCTTTGCGCAGGCAATTTTGATCCTAAATGGTGCCTTGCCATGCAACAAGATTTGGATGCCCTTAATGTTAATGGCACGTGATCTCTACAATCTTTACCACCTAGCAAAAAGCCCATTGAATGTAAATGGGTATATAAGATCAAACTCATATCGGATGGCTCGTGGAACGTTATAAAGCCGGACTAGTTGTCAAAGGATACGACCAAGTTAAAGGCCTCGACTATCAAAACCTTTTGCCCCGACTACAAAGCTTTTTACAATTCGTTTTCTCCTTGCCATGACTTCCACCCATTGCTTGCATCTTCGTTAACTTGATGTAAACAATGCCTTCTTACATGGAGAGTGTCAACATAAACCCCGCAAAAGGGTGCGCAAAAAAGTCACCACCTAGTTAATGTGAAAGAACTAGAAAATCCTAAACATACTAGTTTGTATAGATATACGGGTAAAGAGTCGGTTATATATGGAAAAGATATAACATCATCATCTTCTCATCCTACCTAAGGCATACTCGCATCATTTGCATGTGGACATAAAAATCTATATATATATATATATTTACTTTGTTATGCTTTCTAAACCTATTTAAATGAGTTTATTTTGTTATGTAAAAAGAAAGTAATTCTAGTATTTGAGTGTAAAAATAAAGGATTAAGTTACTAGAAAATTTAAAAATATAAGAGTTAAATAATTAATTTTTAAAATATGAAAAAAATAATTAATTCATTTCTCAAAATTAAATGAACTAATTTATAATCTACTCCAAAACGATAGCATGCAACTAGTATGATTTTCTTAGGCTAAATAAGTCAAACTTTTTATGAACTTTAATTCTTTTGGAATTGAATCCTTAAAATTCAAATTTATTGTTTGAAATTTCTAGATTTTTTTGTTAAAAACTAACTCATCCTTCAATTTTTATCCTTTACCTCAAAAAATAACAATCACATAAATAGTTCTATAACAAAAATCATTAATCGAGATTTGTATGACTCTTAAAAAAATTTGAGATCATTCCGGATTATTTTATATCTTTCTTGATTTTTTTATATTTTTAATTTTAAAAAATAAATATATTTTTTTGTTTTGAAAAAATCTAGGGTTTTTCTAGAAAATAGATTGGATTTTTTTCAATATGTGTGTAAAACTTAAATCCCATATATCAAGAATTAAATTTTTTAGAGAATACGATGATAGACGAAAAACACTAGATGGTTTAAATTTCAAAAAATTAAAAATTTAAGGATTTTAAAAATTAAATTTGAAGTTTCGATACTCAATTTAAAGTTTGACCCATATATATATATATGATTGCAACTGGTTCGATTAGAAAACAAGCTGCCAAGCACCAAGTTGTCAAAAACCCAAGTAGGGCAACTGAATCAATCGTTGCTTAATTAACTTGTCAGAGCATCAACCAGAAAATCAGAGATCGATATCCAGTAGTTCAGTCATTGGAAGTTGGAATTGCAAGTAGTACTTAGAATAAAATATTTGTAGTTTAATCATTAAATCAATAGATACCGCCATGGACTAGGCTGTTGACATGTGAGCGGCCAACGAACTTTTTCACTGTTAATTCATCAAAGAACGGTCGAACTTAGAGAATCTTTATTTTTTATTGTGAAAAAAGCAGTGGCAAGGCTTTAATTAAACAAGATATAGGTACTTTATCATCTCTTCTAGAAATGAAGATGCATGTGACCATTGCGAATGGGTATTTCCTTATTCTCAACCACAATTTATTTACAGACTACGGTCCCCTTGCATTGTCTTTTTAGCAATCGTATCGGTCACCCTTCCTCTCGGATTACTCCGTACCACCTTTTCACACTTAGCTTCATTAACAAATTAATGGGTTAGCATGCAAATCTGATTTGCAGAAGAATTAGAATATATTTTCTTCTGAATACACGTTGGAAGAAATTTAGTTTAGGGAAAGATAATTCGAGATATTTTTTTATAAATTATTAACCTTAAAACCAACTACTTAAAAAAGAAGCATAACTAAATAATAAAAAAATTACAAAATAAATTTATTGTAAATTAAGATGGATGAAAAATAGAATTTTTTTTACCTTAATCATTAGAAAAATTAAAAATCAAAATTATATTATCATATTTCATGGTATAAAAAAAAATGAACTATCAAAATAATTTTACCAAAATTTTAAAATAATTGTCTTGAAACATGATCAGATTGTTTTTTTGAGACGATATGCACTCGTTCCAAAAAAATTTTCATACGATGAATCGAACGTATGTTACACATCGTCTTAAAGGTACAACAAGTTTAACCATCTTACTATGTTATAATAAATTTATATTATTAGTAAGATTTGAAATTCAAAATAAAATAGTATCATTCTTACTAAAAAAAGAACAAATAAACTTTATAGCTTTTTTGGTGGGAGACAAAAGATCAAAGCCAAAAAAAGGAGATGTTTGCACTTTTTTTTTAATACAGATTTAGCATAGCAAACGATGTTTTTTTTTTTCATACAGATTTTCAAACGTCATACACATATATATAGTCCTTAAGAGAAAATGATGTTTTAAAGACCATAATTGTCATTTAAATAAAAATGGTAACAAACATATAGATAGTCCTTAAGAGAAAATGATGCTCTAAAGATCATAATTGTCATTTAAAAAAAACAAGGTAACAAACGGCCTAAGCAATGAATTAGATGTTTTTGATTGTTTCTGATCATTATGAAAAATAATTGTTTCTGAACATTTCTAACCATTATGAAAAATAAAATAACGGCTTATGATCATCTTTAATCATTATAAAAATAATATTTTTTGACAGTTATGAAAATAAATTAAAGATTTTTCTTAAAAATATTCCAACAATCACCCACTTATTTTTTCAAAAAAATATATATATATATATATATATATATTAGTCATATAATCAAGGTAAAAAAGAAATATAATACATCATAATAGTACTACTAACTTTAACCCTTACTTAGTATTTCAAGAATATTGCTTTGAAGTCAATAATAATTTTTTTCCTTAAACTAAGGTTTTTTTCAATAAAAACAAATATTGTTTTATACATACTATATTAAGGGAATCGTTAACAATTTTCAGAGCCAACACATTACAGACATGTGGTGCTATTAGATAAAAATATAACATTACTCATTTTTTAACAGCTAGGGTGAAGATTAAATATTAGTTGGTAAAACAGTGGAAAAAACTCAATCTAATCCGAAGCATATATAGGATTAATTATCAATTGTGTATCAAACCCTCTTCATATTATCAATTTACCCCATCTTTCATAGGCATTGGACAATTTCACCATTTCGTCTATTCATGTAGCAGTTAAAAGATCTTGACCAATTCTAATCTAACTTGCATATGATCTTTAGACCTTTGCAAAGAAGCGGTAAAATAAATTTTCAATAAATCATAGGGTACAATTTTAACTTGACTAACACGTGCTCTAAATAGAGAAAAAATTATGCATTTTGACGCATAATATTTTTCTCTATTATTATTTTGGCCGTGAATTAAATTGTGCATTAGAACTCACTAGGTCTGTCTCTTATGGCCAATCTTTTCTACAGTAGGAGGTGCTTGTAAAAAGTCCACGGACCTCCATCCCGCACTTTTCTGAGATCTAGTTCATGGAAAAAATAAAAAAGGAAGCATCTCATGGTAGGTTCCTCAATATAAACCCCTCTCACCAGTCTCCATAGGGCCTCTAGGGTGTTCTTCATTGCATGAACATTGATGAACTTGTCCGTGAGAAACCTCTCAACCATACACAAACGGATATCCACTGAAATGGTCTTTGCCTCTTCTTCGGTGTACTCCAGCCCCTCTTCTTCATCATCTAATGAAATGGTGGAGCACATCTCCTCAAGCTGTTGCGAATAGGTGCCATCCATTTTAATTAGAAGGCTTAAACGGAAGAAAACAAAGCAGCAAAACGATGAAACTTGCCAGAAGACAAGACTCAGAGAAACTTGTCACAAGACAAGACGTAGATAGTTTTAATCTTATTTACTATAATTGTTGGATTAGTAAGTTTTGTTATAAAAGGTAAAGCTATTGAAAATAAATGAATATTTCTTATTCAAAGGTGCATTTTAGATAATACAAAATAAATTGAATTTTGTTGAAAATAGAATTAAAAGATCAAATTATTGGTAAATAAAAAAATATATAAATGTATAGAACTTATTGCTCTTGTTTTCGTTATTAATTTTTTTTCTGTATACCAATTACCTATGTTACACGTAGTTCAAAAAATAATGGAAGTAACAGATAGCATGTTTTATGTATAATTTTTTGATTTATGGATTGGTATCTTTAGATTTGTTTGAATAAGTCAATTTTTTCAATCCCAATAAAAACCTTTTTTTTTCATTTCATATTAATTAAGTTTGCTTATTTCTCAATCAAGCATTAATCCCTTCAAATTTTTTTAACAAGTCACTTCTAATCAACGTTCAAAATGAATTATCACTAAAAAAAAAAATCCAAAATGAATAAAAAAGAAAGTCTAGAAATTTTGCAATTTTCCGATTTAACATAGATCCATACTAGATCTTGACCCACGTTACACTACGGGTTAGATAAAATATATAAAATTATTTAAAAAAATTATTTCAGTTTAATAATTTGTTTTATGTTATGAATCTATAACAATATATGAAATCAAAGGTAAAAATATAATTATAATTTTTTAATTAAAAAATATTTATTTAACTATTTCTTATTTGTGTTATATATATATATATATATATATACAAAAAGGATTTATCTTTGTTAATCTATGGGTTATTAACTAAAAAGGAAATTATTTTTTTAAAAAAAAAGCTTTAGTATTTTATAAGATCTGTATCGAAAAACAAAAATAAAAATTACTAAAAGCTTATATAGAATTGAACAAATATTTTATTTTTTATTTCATATTGATGAGAATATCGATTTTTGAAAAAAAATGTGAATTTAATTTTTTTAATTGGATGAATAATATTAAAATAAATCAAAACTATGAGTAAATATAATTTTAAATTAATTGGATAAGAATTTAAAAGAAATGACAAATTAATGAAAATAGTAATAAATGACAAACTATGAGTAATAAAATTCTTTATTATAATATATGTACTTCTTTTTTTTTTTTTTTTAAGAAATAGATCTTATGTAATTGTTAATTAATAAATTATGTTATGTGATAGTATGTGCTTCTAGACATAATTATTTTTTGAAACAAAAACATTATTTTTTCGAATTAGATATTTTAAACTTTAGAAATAAAAAATAAAGGAAATAAATTGTTGGTTCTTTTAAAATTTTAATACCCAACATTATTCATAAACGAAAATTAAAAAAAAAAAAACCATTTACTTTTCAGAAACGGAAATAAAAAAATGTTCACACCAAAAGAAAAATTAGATATTTTAAATTTTAGAAATAAATAATAAAGAAAATAAATTGTTGGTTTCTTTAAAAATTTTAACACCCAATTAATTGTTGTTTCCTTTAAAATCTTAACACCCAACATTATTTAAAAACGAAAGTTAAAAAAAAAAATCAATGTTTAGGAAAAAAAGGGAGGGCCAGCCGTTTACTGTTCATGTGAACACTAAACGGATGGAAATTTTTTAAAAAATAATCAGTGTTTACAAAAAAAAAAAAAAAAAAAAAAAAGAGGGAGGGGGCAAGTCGTTTACTGTACAAATGAACAGTAAACGGAACAAAAAAACCAAAGGGTGCTAGCCAAAAAAAAATTAAAAAAAAAAAACTAAAACATAACAATGAACACAGCGATAATCACTGTTCATTGTTATAATATAAAAAGCATTTTCTTTTAGTTTATAGTAATAATTATAATTAGGACCTACTTTTTAGCCTTTCTAGATGGAATTAACAAGCATGTGGAAATAATGTCCAAATTAGATGGTATGAGTAATTTGTCCGTCACAATAAATGAATAGAGGGATGGCTTTGTTTAAAGTTGATTACAATTACGATAACATTGATTAAGTAACAAATTTTGAGAATTAATGACGTCATTCGCTTGAGACTAATATTTCTTATAAAATAATTTTGTTAAACAATTGTTACCATCTTTAACGTTAGTTAGTCACTCCATTATTATTATTATTATTATCCCTATCTTTTTTTTCCAACAATAAGGATGTCATCGAGTAATTTTTTACATACTTCGAAATTATTTTTTTTAAATGTGGTTAAAAGATATTTTTTAATGCATAATTTTAAATATTTAAAAAATAAAATTTTAAAAAATACTGAATCGAAGACTTAAAAATATAAATCGATATTTATTTATTAGCAGACTATAACCTTCATGCTGTTGTCATTATCCATGTTCTCATCAAACTAAAACCTCTTCATCTTTCTATTTGTCACTGCTTGACATCTGACCATTTCTGTATAATAGATCCGCTCGATTTAGTTCACATAATAGAGAAACAACTTACTTTTAAAAGGAATAAATGTAAGAAATATTATATAGTATGACCCATATGTTATGTTTGTTTTAAATCTATAAATGACTATTTAAAGACTTAGAGGCCAATGGATTTTAGTAGTGGGCTAGGCACATCCATGATGGATGGAGGTGCAAAATTAGGTTAAAGAAAGAGTCTCTAGTTAGCCATATAAATAGTAAGTAAAGCCTATGTTTTCCATCAACACACAAAACCCTAAAGTATTGGCATAGACTAGAAGGCTCTCTCTCCCTTGGCGGCTTTAGTTTTCTTTCAGCAATATCTTGAGCACTTAATCAATCATGATAGGAGGTATGTATTCTATTAATTTTCGTTGCGCTTATATGCATAGGCATATTTAATTTTTAACAATAAATACTAAGAAAAATTCTGAAGGTTTAGATGAGAAGGTAGCTTACATGATAGGGAAAGATATAAATCTCTCTACTTATGCATTTCCATTGTAAGCTTACTAACAAACTTCTACAAAGGTTTTATCAAGCAAATGATGAGATAAGATAAATATTTTAGAACATATATATAAATAAATAAAAAGTAAGTAATTTTTTTTCAGACAAAAAATAATAATTTTTTAACTTCCTCCACAAATTTATTATTTGCAGCATAATTGGCCAGGCAAATTTTCCAGCCTAGTTTTTTGTAAAATGAATTAAAATCATACACACCAATAAATTTTGAATTTAAACTACTATTCTCCAAGCCTCCTTGTTGCATTTCTATTATTGCAAATCGTGAAATTTGAATTCCCAAATTAATAACTTTTTATTCAATATATATATATATATATAATTTTCAATGTTATGTTATCTTACCCGTAGCTTTCATCACCAAAGCATATCCAACCAATAAAAATTTTTATTTATATTTTATTTTTGCCAAAAATGGGCTGAAATTTTTACCAAAAATACCTGGAGTGAAATATTCTTTTTAAAAAATTATCCAACACCATACGTAAGTTATGTAGTAAATAAAATTTAAAATACCATGTTTCTTTCTCTGATCCCAAATTTTCCACAGTAACTACGTCTGTAACAATATATATATATATATACGATTTTCAATGTTATCCGAAGCTTTCATCACCAAAGCATATCCAACCAATAAATTTTTTTATTTATATTTTATTTTTGCCAAAAATGGGCTGAAATTTTTACCAAAAATACCTGGAGTGAAATATTCTTTTTTAAAAAATTATCCAACACCATACGTAAGTTATGTATTAAATAAAATTTAAAATATCATGTTTCTTTCTCTTATCCCAAATTTTCCACAGTAACGACGTCTGTAACAATATTACTAAATTTTTTTCACGTTGTGAATTTCGTACATAACATTCTTTGATGTTTTACTTCCATACTCTAATTTTCATAATTGCTAATGTATTTTTAAGTTGTTTCTCCATTTCAATTAAAATAATGAAGAACAAGGTGTAATCTTTATTAAACTATAATTAATAGAATAACACGTTTTTATTTGGACAACAAAAGACCACATTTTACCGTAATGTATAACAAAGTCGTAGACAAAATCACTTCATCTTGGTACAAGCATCATAGAGATCCCAATATATTACTTTAATGTGGTTTTAGCAATGCATCTGCAGGCGTTTTTCAAAATGCTTTTGAATTAAAATAATATAGATGTTTTTTTTTAAATGATTTTCAATGTTCTCATATGAAAACCATTAAAAAAAAAAGCACTTTTGCAAAAGGCCACAAACGCATTACTAAACTCACAAACGCTTAGTCCGGAAGGCGCAGGGCAGGAGATGAGTACATATGCGCTGGAAGTCGGGGTTCAATAACTGCAGCAAGAGGGATTCGTTTAGGAGTAGAAAGACCAAAAATTTCGACCATGTCCAAGTCTTCCGTTTTCATATCACCGGGCAATTTCCATTGAAACCCATGCAAAAAATTGGCAACACCTGTTTGAATCACCTTCAGTCCTACGCTGTACCCAGGACACATCCTCCTCCCAGCTCCAAATGGCAACAGCTCCAAGTTGTGACCTTTAACATCAATGGGGCTACCAAAGAACCTCTCGGGGCAAAATTCGTGGGGCTTCTCCCATATGCTTTCATCCCTTGCAATAGTCCATGCATTTGCCAGGACTCTGGTGCCTTTGGGAATGTCATAGCCACCAATTTTGAGGTCTTCCCGAGCAAGTCTTGGCACTAGGAAGGGTGCCACAGGATGCAAACGCATAGTCTCCTTGCAAATTGCTTCAATAAATGGTAAATTAACTATGTCTTTCTCCTCAACCCACCTGTCTCTTCCAATCACTCGATCTAGCTCTTCGGTTGCCCTCTTAAAATACTCTGGCTTTTTCAGGAGCTCGGCCATGGCCCATTCTGTTGTCACAGCAGAACTCTCAGTCCCCCCGCGATCAAATCCTGCCGAGAAAGAAGCGAAAACTATTAATAAAAGAACGAGGCACTTAAATTTAAGTAGAAATAATAAAAATATATTGATTCGGAACAGTTTACATACTGATTGAAACGATGAACACGTACCATTATAAATGCCTTGACTGAAGTTCTGGTGAGCTTGACTTCAAGACCAGGATCATCAGCAAGCTGCAACAGGATATCCATCATATCTTGAGGCACATAGTTCTTGATTCCTTTTCTCCTTTCATTGTGTTCATTCAATGCATTCTCGAGAAAACCATCAAACAATTTGCCCACGGCCTTCATTCTCTTAATATAGCCTTGCAAATCCAAGAAAGCGAGCCACGGTATTGAGTCTCCTACATCTAACACCCCATTAAGCAAGAAAAGCTCATCAATCATTTCCGTAAACTCCTTGGGTGACATATACTGCTTTTGGTTCCCAGTTTTCTTTGTGTAGTTTTTTCCCAGCACTATGCGACTGATGACACTGAGACTCAAATCTGAAAAATATTCTCTTCCATTGATGGGCTTGCCAGCGGTCAAGAATAATTTTCCAAGGAGTCGGTGTAACTCCTCTACGCGGAGATACTCAAATTGGTCTAGGCGTTTGGGACTGAAAATTTCCATCAGCAAAATTTTACGTGCTTGTCGCCAATATGGTCCATATTGCGACCAGGTAATGTTGGAGTAGTTATAGGTGGTGTATTTGCCTGCAGCAATTCTGGGACGATCAGCCAGTTTGACATCATTGATTTTGAGGATTTCTTCGGCCATTTCTTTAGAAGAGCCCACAACAACTTGATATGAACCAAATTTGAGCAGCATAATTGGCCCGTATTTTTGAACAAGGGCGTGTACGTTTCTGTGTGGGAGTGGCCCTGCAAGGAGGTTTAGGTTTCCGATTATAGGCCACGGTTTGGGGCCTGGTGGGAGGTTGAGTTTGGGACGGGTAAGGTGGCGGAAGAGGGTGACTATGGCTACAGTAGCAAGAAAAAGAGCAGCAAAAGTAGAAATCACCATTTTGATGGTGGTAAAGGTAATGAGTGTGGCTGTGAATTGTGATCAAAGCGGAAGGGTGATAAGTCTATTTATAGAAAGGACATTGCAGTATCGTTGGATACAGGGGAAATGATGATTTGAATTATTGGCATCGAAATACAAAGCTAACTGTGACAACTACCAGTCAATTGTCTCTTACTAATCCATCTCCTCCCCGCAGTTTTGTTTTTGTGCTTTTTTGGAAAAAAAAAAAAAAAAAAAAACTGATTTTGTGGTGGGAGGAGGGTACTCTCGGATGGTGGATCTGCGTGGTCAGTCTTGCTTTTTATCCTCAGGATCTACCGCCGACACGCACTGTTTCACTAAATCTTAATCTTTTTCTTTTCTCTCTCGCTTTTTTTTTTTAATTATAAATGTGAGTTTATTCTGTTATTAAAATATAAAATCTAACTGAATTTATTCATTGAACAAGGATTTATGAGTTACTAACTAAAATAATGTATTTTTTAAATTAGCTTTTTAATTGTGATGAAATATAAATGATTTAGTATCAATCTTTTTACCTTTTTTTTTTTTGTCCCTCTATATCTTGCTTTCTAGTCGAATCATATACTAAATTTTGAGAAAATTGTAATGGAAAAAAAAAAATTTCCCATGATCTTTTGTTTCAAGTCCCAAATTTAAGAGAGAAAATTGATATTTATTAAGTGTACATTTGAGTAGTAAACATTCTGTATCGAAAGGAAAAAAAAAAAAAACGAGGGTTTTTATATATAAAATAAATTTATAATCTATTGATGTAGACTTTTGAATTTATATATAATAAATTTGCAGTTTGATCATTAACGAAGCAAATGGTTTGAAGTTGGATTTGCACATTTGTTTCTTTAATCATTTCGTTTACTTTTTTTCTATCGTTTTTTTTTTAGTTTTTTTTTCATATAAAATCCTAATCTTAATAAAAAAATTTTTTTCTCAAAATCACGTTTTAAAAAAATCAATAATTGAATTTCTAAGACCATCATGGGATCTACTAATTCAATGAAGGAGATTTTTCAAAAAGTGATCTTGAGAACAATTTTTTCATAAAATTAATTACCATATTATAATGATGCAGTTTTCCTAAATTGGTTCTGAGATTATACAGAGAAGTCGAACCGTTCCTCATAATATATAAATGAATCTTATTTTGGAAAAAAAAAACATCTTTATGAAAGATCTACTGCTTTGGTTTTTTCTACATAGGATTAATTAGATACTACTATAGTTTGGCAATTTGCGTTACAGGGAAGACAACTGCTTTGATTTTTTTTGGAAATTTTGTTGGTCACAGAAAACAGAAGGTCATGTTGAAACATAGGAGCGATGGGTCACTCAATAACTTTTGTTTGTTCCTTTGCTTGAAGACGGATAACGATTTCATTCATCATAATAACAATAATAATAAATTAACGAAGCAAACAATACCTCACTATTTTTAAAATGCATAAATTAAACTCTACGCGCCATCTTTGAAACATTTAAATCAAAATAACATAAAAAAAATATAACTTTTTATTATTGAAAAATTAAGGATAAGATATTCATATATTCATACCACTATTATGAATAACACAATTTAATTAAAAAAAATAACAAGATAAATAAAAAATGAGCATAAAATATTTAATAGGTTTGACAAAATCTTGCTTATTCTATGAACCCTAGAAAGATTATAATTTTATATCCAAAATTTGCACAATTAATCTTACATTTAAAAAAAACTTCGTAATCTTTGTGTTTTACTCACTAAAACTATATATTTTTCACCTATTTATAATGATCAAAATTCTTAATAGACAAAAAAATCTTTGGTCACTATCTTATTCTATTTGCTTGATCAAGGCAATTTTAAAAAATACAAGGGCAATCTTGTATCAAGACATTCAAAATTATCTCAAGAATAAATTTGAGATTTAAGTATTCTTATTTTTTATAAGTTATGAAATCTTAGAATTCACGGCTATTATGAGATGACTTAGGACATTACATTGCTCACAAATCTAGAAATATGAATCCTTTAAATATATTATTTTATTTGTTAGTTATATTTATTGTTGCATTTCAAATTCTTCTAACGAGAACGAAATTTCTAATTTTATGGACATTGTAATGCCCTAGAATCAGTGAGAATTTCGGGAAAAAAAAAAAAATGATCTTTCGTCTACTAAATATAAGAATTCTTGACATCTGAAATTCCTTTATCTATAGAATTTTGAATGTCTCCATACAAATACACCTTTAGGTTCTCCAAAAGTTTTACTGTCATTTTAAGAGCTTTCCTATCAAGAACTTAATTCCTAGAGAAGAAAAGGATATCCAAATCACCTTTACAAAGTGAGTTTCTTACCACGTTTACAGTCAACATTAAAAATAAATTCCACTATTTAATTCAAACCTCAATATTAACAAATGCTCTGATTCATGGAAAACTGTTAAAGCATATCAAACCTTTCTGAACAGTAATAAACAAACAATCATCCCAATTCCTTTATTGAAAGGATACATAAATAATTCAGTTACCAGGGACTGGAGAGCAAAAACATAGGTAAGCTCTTTTTTTTTTTTTTTTTTTTTTTTTTTTTTTTTTTTTATGTCTCGTTCATTGATGTGTTTGCCATTTCTGGCTAGGAGCCTAGGAAGATAGAAAACTAATCAAGTTTTTGTCCATTTCTTTCTTTTGATAGGAAACTAAGTCCATGTTTATTTTCTTTTATTTTTTATTTTTTATTTTTTATTTTCTCTACTGGTGTAGAATTTGGTTTGTACTATTAGCAATATCTTATAGTTTACTTGGGTACTGGGTAGTGACTCTAGCAATCCTGACCTTTTTATTTTTATTTTAATCAGAATATATAGTTTGATCTACAGATACATCATTTACATTAAATTTCTTATCATACGTCCTTAAAGTTTCACATATTAATTTAGTTCATGTTTTATATATAGTGATAGATAAAATGGATTTAGATCCACCAATCAGGTTTTAAATCTCAAATTTTAAATTGAATGATTAAGATTAGATGAGAAAAAATAAATAAAAAATAGTCAAGTTTTTGTATATTTTATCATGTATTTATTTATGTCTATCGAATTTAAATTTCACAATTTAGATTTTACAAATATAACGAAACATGATAGAAGCAAACATGAAAATTTCCGATTTGGATAAAATCATTATAAAGTAAGTATAATTACATCCAACAATGAATAAGGATCATCATGCGATTCTCCTCTTGAACCATCGTAGGAATCTCTCCAGCAAAATGGTTGTATTGTTCAGAAAAGATAAAATTAATTGTTTCTTTAAATAGATAAATAGTATAACGCACTCGTGAATGCGTTAGCAGTCAGCCGACTCGGAAAACAATAAATATAACTTGTAATTTATATGAGCATCAGCACGTGCACAGGTTATCAAGATACGGAAGGGAAAAAAAGGAGGGGGGGGGGTGGGGACCTCTAGGCTCTAGCATTTCTTCCCGACTCCCGAGAACAATGCCAAATCCGATCGAAGTGATTCAATTTGTACTCTATCCAGAGTCATCTAAATTAGCATGGTTTTCTGCAACTTCTCTCTGTCTCTTTTTTATTCCCTTACCACGTTTTCAATGAATTTTAACATTTTTCAATTGATGATGCTTTTGACAAAGTTGCTGGAATTGACATATCAGAAATTGATTCACTGTTTATTTTTTATTTTTTTTATTTGATTACATAGGTAACTTTGAAGTAGATGTCCACCAAACTCTCCTTTGTCACTACGTTTGCACGTAGCGACAAAGGAGTGTTTGGTCGAAGTAAATAGTCACCCCACGTGTTTGATACTATATAAATAAATTTGATAAATTGATTGATTGTTACTGGATTTACTATATTATATATTTTTTAGAAAACTAACTTGGATATATCGAGGAATATCTTTTTTAGGATGGAAAAGAACAATTTTTCTTCCCCTTTTCTTTTTTCTTTTCTTTTTTTACAGATCAAATCAAATTAAAATTTTTGAAGAAAAGGAATTGCATGTATTTAAAATTTTTCACTTTCTTTCTTTATGGCGGTCAAATATGTTCAAAGCATATCTTTTAGGTACAAAAATAAAAAATTTAATATGTAGAAATCAAACTAAGAAATTTCATAAAAAGGATAGTTTGAGCTTAAATAAATGAAATATCATAAGCTTTTTTTCGATTTATAAGTCAATTAATTATAGTGGTTATTGCCTCCACAATCTCTAGAAGTAAAAATACATGATAATCATCAATAATTCCACTTCTTATACTGAATATAGTTTCAAAAGTAACAATAGTTGCTGAAGTAATTAGAACATAACAAATGATTTTTATAAAGATAAAAAGGTATCATAATTGGCTTTTCACCGTTACAAAATATTAAACTTGTTTGTAACACATATTTATTTTTTATATCAAGCTTCTATGGTTGACTTAATAGTGCTCGTTAATTTGTCCGAGCTATCCCTTGTAGATTAAAACATATAATTTATAGCCTTATCTCTTAGCTTTATTTTTTCACAAGAAGATATAGGAAATAATACTCAAGATACTCCAAGTATGTTTGAATTAAGAAATTACTTTTTTTTTTTGAATTTATCTAGAAAAAGAACATCAATATGTAAATCTTCTTCGGATTGCCTTAATTTTTTTTAATTTTTTTTAGCAAAAATAGGCTTATGACAAATATAATAACGTCAATTCTTGAAAAGATATATATAAGTCAATTTATAATTCTTTTCACGAAATTGACTTAAAAAATGGCAAGAGATTTGTATATGATTTTTTTAAAAATACAATCGTTATTGTGGAAGGATATGTGTTATTGAAACTTTATAAAAAATAAAATCTAAATTTCAATTTAGTCTCATATTTATATATTTTTAAATATTTAAAATTTTAACATTTTCAAAATATTACATTTAATATTTTGAATCAATTTCACCACCTTTTTAATTTTTCATATTGAAT